AACCGGAGTACCTGGAGAAAACCCTCGCAGTCACAGGGAGAACATGCAAACTCCAGGCAGGTGGTGCCGTGGCTGGGATTTGAACCAGCGACCCTAGTACTGCCAGGCGGAAGGGCTAACATTGTATCTCTAACTCCAGGCATACAGAGAAAAAAAAAGTTTGTAAAAAAAATAAATATTAAAAAATAAAAAGAATAAAGAAAAATACCTAGATCAAGGTTTGATCTAGTTCAGTGCCAGGGTTAGTGTTTGGGTCAAGGTCAGAGTCAAAGGTCAGGATTTAAAAAAAAAAAAATTGCTGTCAGTGTGTCTTAGGTAAAAAAAAAAAACAAAAAACAAAATGCGCACTATTGTTTCTGGGCTGTACTACGGGTACAAACAAATAACATACACATATATGGTAATGCGATTGTCAAGAGCTGGAGAATTTATTTTGGGTTGTTCTTTGGTGGTAGGTTATGGTAGTAACAAGAAACACACAGCTAAATAAAAATGTATTTATTTTCTACTATTTTGGGCCAGTTTTCTTTTGATAATAAAAAAAAAAAAAAAAAAAGAGAGCTATCCATTACCATTTACCACCAAATGAAAAAAATCAAGGCATAATCTACTGGATATGTACATCCAGGAGATTATACTGAAAAAATCAAGGTATAATCCACCTGGATGTACAAAGTAGTTGTGATATGTACGGTTTTACTAACACATGTCACAGTTGCAGAATTGTGCTTAGGCATTTAGATTTGTTTTACCCATAGGCGTGAAGGGGTTAATCAGTCCAGTATTTGTAAGAAATAGTGACTAAGACCGTGCCTGTTCAGAACCAAAAGAATACATTACAATACAATACATCACTGCCAAAGTTTTGTATTCTGTTTTACAAGAATTTTGTGTGCTAGGCTTTAGACTTGCAAAATCTGTACATGCAACTTTGTTAAACAAGTGGGAATGAAAGGAGTAACAGTTTCCTTTCATTGTTTGTGTCAGGAATCTTATTGAAGCCTGGAATCTACAGAGGCTTCACTCTTCAAGACTGAATGTAGAAGAGCTTTTAAAACACATGTATGAAACATGCCAAGAAATGGGGCTCATAGAAGATCTGTTAAAATTAACATTTACAGATTCTGAGCAAGTAAGTAATGTCTTGAACCTTTAAATATGTTGATCAATGCATAAAGTGTGAAATTTAAGTCTGAAGAATGTCCAGTTACTGTAGATATCAGGTTTTTCTAATTTACAGCTTCTTAATTTAAATTGCAGGGATTTTTGCACAGGTTTTTGCAGACAAGTGGAGGTGTGCAAAATCAAGAATTGCTTCTGGTGCATCACTTGCAGAGAGCCAACTACATCCCAGCTCTGCAGCTGAACCAGTCTTTGAAAGGTTACCATATGGTAAGATCCCATGCTCACATGTGGGTATCAAATGATGAAGGTTTTTGCACAGAGGATAACTCTTGTGTTTCAATACAGGACAACTAAATGCTTTTGTGATGGAGGAGGAAATGCAGATTTCTCTTGTACGATCTATCATGTTATGAGTAATCTCAGCCATTCTGTTTTGTACCTTTTTATTTTTCTGTTTGTGCAGTTTGATTCAGATCGAAAGCTTCGCGAGAGAGCAGTGGCCAGAAACGCTATACTTGATCAGTATGGTAAAACACTGCCAGGTGTGCAGCGGACTCTTGCAAATGAAAGGACTAAGCACTCTGCATTATCATCAACAGTTTGGAAGGAAGGTAATTTAATATCACAATTTACCATTGCTCGGTTTCTGCCCACTCTGTGGAAATTTTCCAAGTGGGAGCACAGATGGCAGCACAAATCTGATAAATGAATCTAGCCCATTGTTGAAAAATGTATGGTGATTTTCTTTAAAATGCTGTACAGTATTAAAGTGGACTTGTCAAGAAACTACATTTGTACACTTGCTAACAACAATTAAGTATTCCAAAAAATGTTTATTTTTTTCTCCATCTTTAAAACAGACCTTGAGCTTTAGGCAAGTGACTTTGCCTAGTCTGTGATTATACAGTATCATCGGTTTGCTGCAGGCAGGAGGATACATTTTCCTTAGTTCTGTACCCCACAGGGGATCCTCTCACTTAAGCATGGGCAGATCACAGGTAGAAAATTGCTGGGACAAAAGGGCTGCATAATATGCACTCTCCTGATGGCCTACAGGAAATGCAGAACACTGCTTGGGGGTGATAGCTGTTCCCTTGTCCAGGAGAAATGTTCTATTTTGACACCTCTCCCTAACAACATGCAGCCTGTCTTACAAAAGCAGATTTCTTTTCACAATGCCTGAATTTTTCAAAAAACTTTCAGCTTCCAGAGGCCAGAAACACTACACCACTTCCCTCCTCTCCGACTCTGATCTTGAATCAGAGGTGACACCTCCAAATTCCTTATCTTGGAGTACAGGAGACAGTGCTTGTATTCATAGACCATGGGTTATATGTAGGCTTCCTTCAGGTGATTGCATACTGGCAAAAAAAGAAAGGAATGGTACTTTACTCCAAGGTAAGGAATTTACAGGTACCCAGTTTTCCTTTTTATATGGTGAATACAAAAATTATTTTTTTAAAAAATGAAATTTATATAAATGTTTAGGGCTTGTTCACACCACCAAGCTGTGCTGAACACATGGCTGGTAGTATGTTCTATGGTGGCAATGCACTAATTTTGGCATGTCACATGGTTTCTTTTATTTTTCATGATGCAATGCAACGGTTTTCTTCAAAAACTCCTGTTTTTTACTTTTTTTTTTTTTTTTTTTTTTATGCAGGTACTTTAAAGTTGCAAGTTAAAAATAGTACATGACTGCACACTGGCATTGCTTTTACAAAACGGTTCTCAGCTTCTGTGTAGGCCCTAGGACTCTCTTACCTCTTCACCTTTGGTCTCTGCACAGCTGAATGGCCATAGGATTTCCACACCTCTTAGTGTGTTCATTATGTTTTTATTTGCTTAAGGGGCAGATGTAATTCCTGCACAGAACAATGTGGCTCCTACCAGTCCTGCCTGTGTACTCCCTTCTCATTTGAGAAGCAGCCTTTTACTACTTTTTACTAAGTGCAGCTGACAAACTGCATAAGCTGGAGTGGATTAGAGAGGTAATAGACTGTCCAATTACCATACGGTTCATTTGAGATATAGATAAAGCAAAAGGTAACACTGATTTGCACATGTGCATGCATTAAAAATATACTGTAATTTGACCTTAATACATGGGACACTAATGACCAAGGCTTCCCAGAGCACTTTTTTTCTAAACCAAGAGCACAGCCAAAGCCGCTTGCCTCTTCCATATGACTGAGCTGAGAAAAACAGCACTTAACCGTTAGCCGCCCGGCCAATGGCCGTTTGGCGGCTTGAAAAGCGCTGCAGCTTTCCGGGTGCACGCCATTTGGCGTGCTCCCGCACATGCGCGGTTTGCGCGGTTGCAGAGCGACGCAGCAGTGCGATCTGTCACCGCCCGTGCACCTCGGACACGGCCGATGACAGATCTGAGTACCGGCTCCCGTTGCCGGTACCATGTGACCTGCTGTGACCAATCACAGCAGGCCACATGACAGTTGTATACAATGGATGGCTTCATTCATGATGCCATCCATTGTATACTAGTGCCTAGCTGTGAATGGTCACAGCTAATTACATGCACATGTCATGTGATTAGCTGTGACCAAATCACAGCTAAGCACAAAAAAAAAAAAAAAAGCTGAATGAATCGATTTCATTCAGGTAAATGCTTGCTTATAGCAAAGTAATTCTTTGCTATAAGCAAATTGTGTAAAAAAAAAAAAAAAAAATACTGATCACTTCCCCAAAGTAGTACAGTGTTACTATGGTAACATTGTACTATTTTGGTCATAGTAAAATATGAAAAAAAATCTTAAAAAAAATAAAAAAAAATGTAATAAAAAATTAAATATAATAAAAAATAAAAAAAATTAAAAAATATATATATATATTTTTTTTTTCATACTGTCACCAGTCAGTGTCGCTGTTCACCGCCATGCCAGTTATATGATGACGCTGTCCTGCACTGGTGACAGTATGTAAAAAAAAAAAATAGTGAAAATTATTTTTTTAATTTTTTCATTTTCCGAAAAATTATGACAAAAAAATACAACTTCAAAAAACTCGCCATTCCTCTTATGAAGTACGTCGGACTGTCTACTCTGCAAAAAGGGGTCATTTGGGGATATCTGTACTGTTCTGACATTCTTGGACCTCAAGATATTAGATTGGCTGTCAGTACTTCAGGATTGATCAATATTCAGATCTACACCATAGTTTGTGAACTCTATAACTTTCCTACAAACTAAAAAATACATCCTAATTTGGGTTATTTTCACCAAAGACATGTAGCAGAATACATCTCGGCCTAAATTTATGAAGAACAATTATTTATTTGTAAACTTTTATAACAGAAACAAAGAAAAATGTGTGTTTTTTTCAAAATTGTTGGTCTTTTTTTGTTAATTTAGCAAAAAATAAAAACCCCAGCGGTGATTAAATACCACCAAAAGAAAGCTCTAATTGTGTGAAGAAAATGATAAAATTTTAGTTTGGGTACAATGTTGTATGACCGCGCAATTGTCATTCAAAGTGTGAGAGCGCTGAAACCTGAAAACTGGCCTGGGCAGGAAGGTGTAAAATTGCACGGTATTGAAACGGTTAAGAGGGTCAGTGTAGAGTTTTTGAGCTATTGAACTGCATAAACAATAGACCTAGAACACCACCTGCTGGCTGCTTATGAAAATGCAAATTCTACATATACAACATTTTGTTTGCCTGCCTGAAAAACGTGTAAAATGTCTAAATTTTATCAGTTCTCTAAATATGGATTTGTCCTTTTTTTGGGGTTTTTTTTTCCCGTTTGCTTTTTAGTGACAAGGCCCAAGCCTTTATCTACTGTTGTAAAACAAGCTCCACCAGGAAGTGTTGTGAGCAAGGCAACTTTTATCAGCAATGTATTAATGAAGATAAAAGAAGTATCTGCCACAGACATTAATATGGACTTCTCACCCTACAAAAGGTAACATTTTCTTTACTTTTTGATTATTAAGTTATGTTGAGAATTGGTTTGGATACAGTGGGGAAGGGGTAAAATTTGTGCCAGGATTTTTATTGCAGTCCATGACCCTGTTTAGGAGATTTCTTCTCATTTAATGAGGCTATCTTTTTAATGCTTGCCCTATACCAACTAATTCCTCCAATTTCATAGGCTTTCAAACACCAGAAACAATTGAACGATTCAAGGCAACTTACCAGCCTATTAACCATTGTTTTCAATACTGTCAGTGATAAGTTGCCTTGATACAGTCAGCCATCTTTGCTTAAGGACTTGACACTTGTTCAGAGAAGACCCGCAGTTTTCACTAGAAAATCGTTGGTCTCTGCATGGGCATACAGAGAGCAATTGTCTTCTATATGCCCTGTTCACACTCAAAAGCAGTCTTGGAGTAAGTTTTAGGCCTCATGCACACAGGACGTTTTAAAAACGCTCCTTCTCTTGACAGCAGCATTTTGTCAGAAAAAACACCTGATGCTTGTAAAAGTTTGTAACGTTTTTACAAGCATTTAGCATGTTTATAGGCGTCAATCGCTTGGTCGTTAACCGCTTCCTGACCACCAGATAGCAGAAATACTGCTGCAGGGCTGCACAAAATCATGTATGTATGTATGATTTTGCATTTCCGGATAGGGGACGCGCGCACGCCACCATTGGCGGCTACAGATGTCGATCACCGGGTTCCAGCCTGTGATTTCCCGCCGACACCCGGTGATCACTGAGTATCACTGACGGGAGAGACCTGTGTGTAAACAAACAATGCAGGTCTCCCTCCTGCCAGCAGTAACATGCTGCTGTGTATTTCTCTGCCCCAGATGTTAACCCCTTCCTGCCCAGTGTCATTAGTACAGTGTCAGTGCTTTTTATTTGGACTGATCACTGTATTAGTGTCATTGGAATGTCAATGGCAGTTAGTTCCCCCCAGTGTGAGAATGCCCGCCGCAGTCCCACAATAAATCGCTGATCACCATCATTACTAGTATAAAAAAAAAAATTCCAGTATATATGCCACCATTTGTAGACGCTAACCGATGAATTTACACATATTGTGATTTCTCTTAGCAGAATACATTGTGGCCTAGATGTATGATGAAATTTGATTTATTTATTTTTAAACATTTTTACTGGATATGTTTTATAGCAAAAAGTCAAAAATAATGTGTGGGGTTTTTTTTTTCAAAATTGTCGGTCTTTTTTTTGTTTATAGCACAAGAAAATAAAAATCGCACCAGTGATCAAATACCACCGAAAGAAAGCTCTATTTGTGGGGGAAAAAAAGGACATAAATTTCATTTATGTACAGCATTGCATGACCGCGTAATTGTCAAAGTAATGCAGCGCCGTATCACAAAACATGGCCTGGTCAGGAGGGGGGGGGGGGGGGGTAAATCCTTTGGAGGGCAAGTGGTTAAAGTAGAACTTTAATCAGAAAATGAAGTCTTGTTAGATCACTTCAGGCTTTCCCCTTTTGCAGGTATAGCTATGTAAAACATTAAAAATAACTGCCTATATTTTTTTAAAGTCCAGTACTACACGCTCTCACACCCTACTCTGCACATGTTAAGTTTCTCTCTTATTTTTTAGTCACTGCTGAATTTATAGAGGCCGATCTGTTGACAGCCCTAGAAACGGAATTAAACCCTCCTATACTCCACAGCCAAGGAAGCTGCTTATGTTTGATCTGCAACTGCCATGTTGCTGCACATGTGATCAGTTAGGACACTAGCCATTTAATGGTTTGACAGTTTGGTTGAGGGCACAAGCAGATGTGACAGTTGATAATCCAGACATTCCAGGAATGTAACTGGTTTTTTTTTTTAAACCATTAAATCAATGGGTTTCATTCTGTTTGATTTACTGCTGTTCAGAGGCTCTGGGCTTAAGCAAAATGGCAGCCTCCAGCAAGAAGAAACTGGATTAATGCTGGAGGTAATTTACAGCACACACTAATTTTGCTGGCATAATTATTAATGTGGAATGTATATTCCTTGCTAAAGGACATTCTTTTTTTATCAAGTTGTTTTGAGTCAAGTTCTGCTTTAATTCATTTCATTGGCCAGAATAATATTTTTTTCTGACCATTTAAATAAATTAACACTCTAAAAACACTTAACGTTTACACGCATCGGGCAGTTTTTCTGCCAAAACCCTGCTTCTGGACGCACTGGCTTGGGGATTTTTTCCTGCCTGTAAATGCCCCTGCTGCTCTGGCCAAAGGACACTTTCTTACCTAGTAAAACATGACATTTTTACCGTGCGCAATGTGGGAACAAGCCCTATGGAAAGGTTTCCCCTACCAACTTCACAGACTGCAATAAAAACAAGACATTTTAACTGTTCCCCACTCTTTTCCAGCTAAGTGACTAAGTCCATTTTAATTGTGACGCAGACTAATTAACTTCCATTTACTTGCAGCTTAACTACTGAAGAGCAGAATCCAGTAACCTCTTTGCCACATTTAGAAGTCACTGATGCGTTTATTGGTACGCCTATATCCAAATCTAGAAGAGTGTCAAGGTTAGTAACTACACCCTAAGAAATTTGTATGAATTGGTCTACTCTGATACAAGATGACATTCTTTTCCCTTTATTGTTAGTCTCACGAAAAACCATTTTAAGTATAGTCAAATTTACCCCCCCCCCCCCCCCCCCCCCCCCCCCCCCCCCCCCCCCCCCCCCCCCCCCCCCCCCCCCCCCCCCCCCCCCCCCCCCCCCCCCCCCCCCCCCCCCCCCCCCCCCCCCCCCCCCCCCCCCCCCCCCCCCCCCCCCCCCCCCCCCCCCCCCCCCCCCCCCCCCCCCCCCCCCCCCCCCCCCCCCCCCCCCCCCCCCCCCCCCCCCCCCCCCCCCCCCCCCCCCCCCCCCCCCCCCCCCCCCCCCCCCCCCCCCCCCCCCCCCCCCCCCCCCCCCCCCCCCCGGCTCTGTGAGGTTAGCCAACAGGGAGCTACAGCCTGCTGCTGGCTGAAAACTGGTCACAGGCGTGCAGAAAGAACTGCACTTCTGTGATCCTCAGAAGCATAGCCAAAAGAGATTTGGCTATACTTCTCCTTTAACCACTTCCCACCCGGCCTATAGTAAAATAATGGCCGGGCGAGCCGCTCATCGATCCGGGAGGGCGTCATATGACATCCTTCCCGGATTGCCCCTTTCGCATGCCCACAGGGCTGCACTGTGGCGAGATCTGTCACCAGCTGTGTACATCAGACACAGCCAATGACAGATCTATGTGCCAGCCCTGTTGCCAGTACTGTGTGACCTGCTGTGACCAATCACAGCAGGTCACATGACAGTTGTAAACAATGGGTGGCTTCCTTTCATGCCATCTATTGTATACAAGTGTGTGTGTGTGTGTGTAGCTGTGAATAGTCACAGTGATCACATGCAGAGGCTGGGCCAATCACAGCCCATCTGTGTCAATGTGATTAGCCATTGCTAATCACAACAAAAAAGCTTGAATAAATCGATTTCATTCAGTTAAATTTCTTGCTTATAGCAAAGAAATTCTTTGCTATAAGCAATCAAATTGTGTAAAAAAAATGTTTTTTTATATATATATACTGATCACTTCCCCAAAGTAGTACAACTTTACTATGGTAATATTTTATACTACTTTGGTCATAGTGTAATATGAAAAAAAAAAAATCTTTTAAAAAATGTAATAAATTTTTTTAAGAATTGAATTTTTTTTTTTTTTTTTTCATACTGTCACCAGTGTCCCTGATCACCACCACACCAGTTATATGATGATGCTGTACTGAACCGGTGACCAATATGTGAAAATTTTTTAAATTTCTTAATTTTCCAAATAATTATGACAAAAAAATTACACCTTCAAAAAACTCACCATGCCTGTTATGAAATACGTCGGGCTGTCTACTTTGCGAAAAAGGGGTAATTTGAAGGATATCTGTACTGTTCTGACATTTTTGGCCCTCAAGAAATTAGATTGGCTGTCAGTACTTCAGGATTGGTCAATTTTCAGATCTATCCCATAGTTTGTGAACTCTATAACTTTCCTACAGACTAAATAATACTGATTTGGGTTATTTTCACCAAAGAAATGTCGCAGAATACATCTTGGCCTAATTTTATGAAGAACAGTTATTTATTTGCAAACGTTTATAACAGAAACAGAAAAACGTGGGGTTTTTTTTTTTTTAAATTTAGCAAAAAAATAAAAACCCCAGTGGTGATTAAATACCACGAAAAGAAAGCTCTAGTTGTGTGAACAAAACAAAATTTTAGTTTGGGTACAGTGTTGCATGACCACGCAGTTGTCATTCAAAGTGTCAGAGCGCAGAAACCTGAAAATTGGCCTGGGCAGGAAGGGGGTAAAAGTGCCTGGTATTGAAGTGGTTAAGCAGTTACAGCGCACATATTTTTCTGTATGCATAATGGTTTTACAAAAGTAAGTAAAATAAAAATGTTGACCATTGAAAGCACCCCTGTCGGGGTAAGCCCTAATATTGCTACTTTTGCTGGACAGCTTGTTCTGTTGAAAAATAACACTGGCAGGATCACCAGTTGATAATGAATTAAAGAAAACAAATGCAGCCACAACATCTAAGAATTTTTAAGCTGCATAATGTTTGCTTTATGATTTTAATATTCTACCAACCCAAGTCAAATATCTAGATAGCCTTTTTTGACATTCCCAATGTGCATATTTCTTCTTGATTTTTGTAGCCATAAAAGCAGGGCATCTATCATTTTCAGATGGAGGTTACTAATGGCAGGTATAATTTAAGTGCATTATATACATCTGTTACAACTTTTATTTCATTGCTGAAGTTGTCTACTTATTTAACATTAATATAATAACTGAAAATGTTTTCTTTACAGAGGGCAAAAGCTTTGGCTGCAAGCTCAGTTTCTTCTGTTTTTACGGGGCATACACCTCAATCTATTTTGAGGTCCAGTGCTCGAACTACCCCTCTGGCTTCTCCTTCAGTTTCTCCTGGAAGATCAATTACGCCTCCTTTACGACCTAGAGAGGCTAAAATCTCTTTTATGGAACAGATCGATAACAAATATATCAAAGGGGTAAGCTTGTTGATATACATTGTGAGAGAATATGTAAACTGAATATTGAAGTTATGGTATGTAGTAGGCTGTACGTCCTCTTAAAATGATTGTCATTAAGATTCATGGAGGCTACTTTTTTCTAAGTTCTTAAGAGCGTGGTAGATCACTAACTGTTATTGTAAAGCTTTGGCTTCAGTGCTTTGAGTTACTGACCCAGAAAGCATATAAAGATACTGTAATTCTGAGGCTGCTAGCATTTTCTTTAGGTGCCAGCAGTGGCAGCTCCTAAATTGTGATAGGGTCACTTTAACCACTTGAGTCCTCAGTGCAGAGACAAGCGATATTTATACCAGCACTGGTTTAAACGGTGCTTGGTCTCTATGGCTCCTGTGGAAAATAACCAGCTCCAATTTCTTGAAAATAAATATTTCCTCCTTAGGTCGCTACAATGACATTGGATGATAATTGATTTCACTGTCCAAGCATGAAATGCAAACATAAGTCAACACATTGTCATTCAAAGTTTAAGGATCGCAAACCTGTGAAAACAATCGCGCTGTTTTTCTAAAGCTCCACAGCTGGTTGATCGATTTTACATGAAAGTTGATCTCCCATCTAAACAAAAACAATATCAAGCTCATGCATGCTGTAGCGCAAGCCATGACCTTGTTTTGGTCTATTTGAGAAAACATTTTACAAATAATAAAAAAAAAAATATAAAACGTGGACAAACACTAATAGTTTTTATTGTCTATTACATTTGTTACTGTAGGTTTTAACACCTGACAAGGATCTGCCAGCATCCTCCCCACTAACAAAATCTGCTCAGGATACCATTTGGACAGAAAGGATGACATTGTCTATAAGTAACACCTCTACTAAAGATCTTGATGAGATGGATGAGTCTTCATCTGGTATTCAGGATGGGAGTCCTAGCAAGATGGAAGCCAGTAGGGAAGCAAGTAATATATCTGCAAGGTCAGATCAAACAACACTAGAGTATCATGATGCTCCAACACCTGAAGATATGGAAGATGATGTAGTTACTGTAACAGCTAAGTCAGAGCTTCTTATATTTAAAGACTCATTGCCTTCTGAAGTGGGCACCATAGCAGCACCAGAAATCCGTGTTACAGAGGTTCAAGAACTGCAAGATAAAGGTGTGTGTAAATGTAATTACTTTTCAGTGCTGTATATTATGTGTCTTGGCTGAAATATCAAATAGATTCAGTACTTGCATTAGATAGTAAGATGGGAGAGAAGACAGAGCCTGTCTTCTATTCCTGCCGCAGTATGGCAAATTTTGTTCTCTGAGTCTGTTTAAAAAAACTGCCCCAGGCGTTCTCAAATTACAGGCATGGCTTGTTTAAATGAATTCACACTTGGTGCAAAAATTTCTCTATCCACCATCTCTATTCACCTATTATGGATTTGTGATATGGAAAGTTTCACGGAAGGTTATTGCTCTCTGAACATTTTATGTAATCGATTGCACCAGTATGGTATTATTTGTACTGTAGGGGTAATATAGGGTTTGTTTACATGCACTATATTGCCAAAAGTATTGGGAAACCCCTCCAAATCATTGGATTCAGGTGTTCTAATCACCTCCATGGCAAAGGTGTATAAAATTAAGCACCTAGGCATGCAGACTGCTTCTACAAACATTTTGTGAAAGAATGGGTCCCTCTCAGGAGCTCAGTGAATTCAGTCATGGTACCGTGATAAGTTGCCACCTGTGCAATAAGTCCGTCCATGAAATTTCCTTGCTACTAAATATTCCACGGTCAAATGTTAGTGGTATTATAACAAAGTTGAAGCAACTGGATACAGCATCTCAACCACGAAGTGGTAGGTCACGTAAAATGACAGCTGGGTCAGTGCATGCTGAAGAACACCGTGCGCAGAAGTCGGCAACTGTCTGCAGAGTCAATAGCTAAAGACCTCCAAACTTTGTGTGGCCTTCAGATTAGTACAACAGTGTGTAAAGTTTCATGGAATGAAATTTCTGTGGCCGAGCAGCTGCATCCAAGTCTTACATCAACAAGTAGAATGCAAAGTGTTGGATGCAGTGATGTAAAGCATGCCACAACTGGACTCTAGACCAGTGGAGACATCTTCTCTGGATTGCCAAATCGCAATTCTCTGTCTGGCAATCCGATAGACGTGTCTAGGTTTGGCAGTTGCCAGGAGAATGGTACTTGCCTGATTGCATTGTGCCAAGTTTAATGGAGGGGAGACTATGGTGTGGGGTTTGGCTTGGCCCCTTAGTTCCAGTGAAGGGGACTCTTAAGGTGTCAGTATACCAAGACATTTTGGACAATTTCATGCTTCCAACTTGGGGATGGTCCCTTCCTGTTCCAACATGACTGCGCACCAGTACACAAAGTAAGGTCCATAAAGACATAGATGAGTGAGTTGGGGTGGAGGAACATGACTGGCCTGCACAGAGTCCTGACCTCAACCCAATAGAACACTTTTTGGATGAGTTAGAGCGGAGACTGCGAGCCAGGCCTTCTCTTTCGACATTGGTGCCTGACCTCACAAATGCACTTCTGGAAGAATGGTCAAACATTCCCATAGACACACTCCTAAACCTTGTGGACAGCCTTCCCAGAAGAGTTGAAGCTGTTATAGCTGCAAAGAGTGGGCCAACTCAATATTGAACCTGACGGACTAAGACTGAGATGCCCTTTTAAGTTGATGTGTGTGTAAAGGCAGGCGTCCGAATACTTTTGGAAATATAGTGTATATTTACATTACTTAACTAGGTGTTAGATTAGTGCTGTTTTTCTTTTTCTTCTTTTTTTTTTTTTTTATTCTTATTACATCACATCTTACTACTGGGCACAACACTTTACTGCCACTTCTTCCCGAAAGTTATTTCAAGGGTTCTTCTATGTTGCAAAGGTGAGAGAGGCTGCTGTAATAGGTTCAAACAGCTGAAGCACAGAGCACACTAGATTTAATTCCCACAGAGTTGCAAGCAGAATGGATTGGGGGGGGGGGGGCCCACATGGCAGACCTCTGTACAAAGGTTTTAGTGAGGCCAACAGTGTATGTACTGGAAAGGGCAAACACCTGACCATTTATAGTGCTGAGAGCCAAACTCTGGTCTGGACCCAGCTGCAGGAAGGAGAGATTTTAGAGCATCGAGAAACTCCTGGGGCAGAAGCCTTGACATGCCTTCCATTTCTGCCACAAGAGACTGTGAGAAGTTTATTTCCTAGGTTTTAGAATAATAGGAATCAGGCCAGAAAGATTTTGTTAACTTATTTCGTGTTCTCAAATTTTTTCTACTAGATACAGTAGATGCAAATACTGACCATATTTCACTATCTGAAAATGACACGGAAACATTACACCAGTTAACTGCAGTGCAGGAAATCGTTACTCAAGTTAAGTGGTAAGTGTTGTTCTTGTTCTCAATGTTTAAAATATAAAATCAAGCTTTAAGCACAAATCATACAGTAAAACTAGGCAATTTTGAAAATGTTATGAGCTCCATGGCTACAAGTAGAATCAAAACCTTTTAACCTTCAACAAAAAGCTCAAGACCTCTCTGGACTTTGGTATATGCATTCTGAGAATAAAGATTTATTTATTTTAGTAGTTACGGATAAGAAATTTTATGTACTAACACATTCTCAGGGAAAGGGTATAGATCAAGGGTCTTGAATTTAAAATTTACAGAGGTCCGGTCAGCAAAATTTCCTTCCAGCAGAGGTCCGAATCTCGTTGGCTATATAACATATCACAGTCCCCCGGTACATTATTATCTTTAGCGTACCTTTCATACTGTATTCCCTTCTACATCACAGTCCCCTCTTTAAAGAAGTCCCACAGTGTCCTCTTTTCCCCTTCACATCACTGCCCCCGTTTACATCACAGCACCCCTTAACACAACACAACGCCCATAAAACACACAGCACTCTTTAACACAACACAGTGCTCCTTTTAATGCAAGCCTTCCCCTGGACAGTCCTATTGTACCTTAGGCAGGGCAAAGACACTAAAACCTTCTGGGGTGTTCTGGGCCTCTGGCCCACCATCGGTGTCGCCCTCATGGTGGGCGGGGTGTGGGGGAAGGGCTGCCTAGGTTGTTGTGTTGGCAAGTGGACGATTGCCTTGCTTGCTGGGGGGGCGCCCCACTTTCTGACTTGAGCTGCAGAGAACGGAGGTCTTTGCATGTTGACTGGCTGAGTGTTCGCTGGCTCCTGCCCCTCTGTCCCGATCAGCAGCTCCTCATGCCCCGCCCACCAAGGGGTGGTCCTGTCCGTGCCGCTGCTGCTGCTGGGTGTCCTCTTCTGGGCCTCCCACCCAGCCCTTGGTGTAGTTCTCACGGTGGGTGGGGTGTGGGGAGCTGTGGATCAGGACTGAGGGGTGGGAGTTGCTGGTTGGCCCAGCTTGTTGGTGTGTGGGGATTCCACTCTCTGCAGCTCGAGGGGGGGGGGGGGGGGCAGGAGTCTTTTCATAGTGTTTGTCCGGGCGCTTGCCCATTTGTTGACATGGTGACTTGGGCAACTCCTGCACCTCGGTCCCGATCTGTGGCTCCTCGCACCCTGCTTGCTGTGGGGATGGCGGCGGTTGCTGGGTGGGGAGCCCAGGGGAGGGCACCCGGGGTGGCGTGGCTGCGGTGCCCGGGAGGGCACCCGGCGGTGGCGTGGCTGCGGTCTGGACAGACTGTCACTCAATCTGCTTCTGGACCACAGTCCGCTTTTTAGTGACCACTGGTGTAGATAGTTATGTCAAACAGTAGATTATAAACCTCAATTTGAAGGGGCTGCAATTTCATGTAGTTTATTTGTAACAGACAGGGTACCAAAAAGACAGTGTCACTACCTTAATCAAATGCACACTTGCCACAACCGTAAGCTATGACAGATACAGCAGACACAGCATGTTTCTCAAGCACAAATCTCCCCAGGTGTATGCACTTTCACTCTGGAGTCACTCCTCTTAGCAGCAAAAGGTAACTCCCACTGGAACAGTTAGGGCTGTTCAAGGAGCCAACAGAAAGCCATTGATAGTGTAGAAGTTTAAATGTTTATTGTAGAATAGAGCTAGTCATTCAGTTAAAAACAATGTACCAGAGAAAAAAAAAGGTGTAAACTCGCTAAGAGAGCTGCTGACTATTCCAAACTCCACGATTTGCCAGCAGCCACACGTTATCACAGCACAGATTCATTACAATACAGTTAACAGCTAATTTTAAACTTTTAGTTTAGACTTATTTATTTTTTCATTTTTTGTGTGTATATGCCTGCTTTCTCTTATTGATGCTCAGTTAAATTTGCCCAATCCTTTCTGTTCATACTACTGTAGTCTGTTAAAATGTAATTTCTTTGGTTTAAGAATTAACAAAAATACTTTGTCCTGTGATATCAACAAAGGGGGTTATGCTCTACCTTCAAGTTATTGGATGCTGGCAAAAAGCAAAGCTGAAATCCAGCCCTGCTTAGTCCTTTTTTTCCTAGTCCTTAAGTGATTGCCTCTCTATTCTGAGAGAACTTTATTACTGATACCTGTTCTGATCTTCTAGCAAGTGTTTCTGGTGTCCAGCTTTTATGCCTTAGAGGATTAATTCAGCAGCTTATATCCAGATTTGTTTGTTCTTGTATTAACTGTACCTCAAGGGACTGTACCTGGACCCCACAGGATCAGAACAGCAGGACGCCCTGTAGGTTTGCTAACTGGCACAGAACCCTGTGCTAAGGGCTCACCATAGCCTGCGGCTGCATTAAGCTGGGAGATTTATGCGGTGCTCTACAGGTCCAAGGGTGTGGTCCACTGCAATGGAGCACAGACACTGAGGACCCGTGCAGGTGTATGCTGTCCACGATTAGATGACGATTGATCTGGGTCTCTATAGCCATAATAGCTATGCAGTATATGAAGCTGTTGGACCGTCAAGTACCCCCTTGAAACATAGCTTTGTTGCTTTGCTTTTTAGAATGTAGAGCTGTGACCCTGGTATAGTGGTGTACTAGCCTCATCTGCCTATCCACTGGAGCAGAATGGCTGGAAACTTCCATTTTGCTGTCATCCTTTGGACTTTTAAGGGTCACAAGTACACACAAGAGTCTGTCCTCAGCTGTTCTGTGCATGCGTGGACACCAACTTTGTGCCAACTTCAGGAGAAAAAGTACCGACACCACTCAGTTCCCTGCTGCACCGCACTATGCCTGATGGTGGTTCTGGGCTCTGTTGCTTAAGTGTTGTCCACAGAAGACCTTCACCTCCTTTTTTTTTTTTTTTTTTTTTTTTTTTTTTTTTTTTTTATTTCTGCAATGTGTCAGGTAAATGAGTACTCTTGTTGGGATACCCTCACATTTACACTGGGGGATGAAGACTGTGGCCTTTGCTAGCTGTCAAGGTGGTTAACACAAAGATATACAAAATCTTTCAAACAGCTCTGCCATCATTAGTCTTCCCCATGACTTATAAGTGCATTTTGATCCTATCACTTTGCATTTTAGAGAAAAGCAATGGGTGTGATTACAAGAGGTGCCATCATCCCTGTAACAATGCATATGGAAAACCCCTCTTTTTGTGGGATTTTATAGGCACAAAACAAAATTGACATAAAAAAAAAAATTAAAATTTGATAAACCATATTTTATTTCTACAAAATGTTAAAAGAACATATAGATATAAAGTATGGTGGTGACATAGGACATAACTGGCACAGTAGGTACATGGATGAAAATAAATCATGCATGCATTTGCACTTGATGCGTTTTGAGACACAGTAATCTCTTCAGCAGTGCTTAGAAGGCATGAAACCTATAGTAAATGTCATTAATATATATATATATATATATATATATATATATATATATATACTATATATATGTGTTCAAAATAATAGCAGTCAGATATCACTAACCTGATCAATCACTGTTTTTGGTAGAAATGATATTTCTACATGGAAAATAATTTACTAGCAGGTGTAGTAGAGTAATAGAAATCCAACAGACCCAACAGTCATGACATGCATGCTGCTGATTCTGTGTAATTGAATCACTAATTGAAAGGGGCATGTTCAAAATAATAGCAGTGTGGGTTCTATTTAGTGAGGTAATTCATTCTTTGAAAAACAGGTGGCAATTATTGCCCTTATTTAAGGAAGGAAGGCAGCAAATGTTGTACATGCTGGTTACAGTGCATTTCTCTCTGAAATTCTGAGGAAAATGGGTTGTTCCAGACATTGTTCAGAAGAACAGCGTACCTTGATTAAAAAGTTGATTGGAGAGGGGAAAAAACATATAAAGAAGTGCAGAAAATGATAGACTGCTCAGCTAAAATGATCGCAAATGCTTTAAAATGGCAACCAAAACCTGAAAGACGTGAAAGAAAGCGAAAAAACTACCATTCGAATGGATAGAAGAATAGCCAAAATGGCAACAATCAGCTCCAGGAAGATCAAAGAAAGTGTAAAGTTACCTGTGAGTACTGTTACAATTAGGAGACGCCTATGTGAAGCCAAGCTATCTGCAAGAAGCCCCCGCAAAGTCCCAATGTTGGAAAAAAGACGTGCTGGAGAGGATACAATTTGCCAAAGAGCACATTGACTGGCCTAAAGAGAAATGGTGCAACATTTTGTGGACTGATGAAAGTAAGATTGTTCTTTTTGGGTCTAGTGGCCGGAGACAGTTTGTCAGACGACCCCCAAATACTGAATTCAAGCCACAGTACACTTTGAAGACAGTGAAGCATGGTTGCGCAAGCATCATGGTATGGGGATGTTTCTCATACTACGGTGTTGGGCCTATTTATCGCATACCAGGGATCATGGATCAGTTTGAATACATCAGAATACTTGAAGAGGTCATGCTGCCTTATGCTGAAGAGGAAATGCCCTTGAACACACAACGACCCCAAACACACGAGTAAACGTGCAACATCTTGGTTCCAGACCAACAAGATTGACGTTATGGAGTGGCCAGCCCAATCCCCGAATCTTAATCCAATAGAAAAACTTGTGGGGTGACATCAAAAATGCAGTTTCTGAGGCAAAACCAAGAAATAGAGAAGAACTGTGGAATGTAGTCCAATCATCCTGGGCTGGAATACCTGTTCACAGGTGCCAGAAGTTGGTTGACTCCATGCAACACAGATGTACAGCAGTTCTCAGAAACAGTGCTTATACAACTAAATATTCATTAAGTGATTCAAAGGAAAGCAAAATCTTCAAACATTTTTTCAGTTTATATAGTGAATGTTTGAGTTTGTAAAGAAGAATACAAGCACTGCTATTTTTTTGAACAGTCTAATATTCACTTTTCTTCAATTTTTTTAGAGGAACAACACAAATTTGATCTATTTTTCTTCATGTTTTGATTTGGAATAGAATGTGTAGTGTTCCCAATGCAATTGTGTGTATGGAAATAAAAGCTATTAGAAGGCTTTTGAGCTTTATTCACTTTTTTCAACACTGCTATTATTTTGAACACAACTATATATAGATATATAAATCAATGAAAATGAGTGAGCGCTTTAAAGGACGAGCAGCTGAAACACATAGGACAACCAAAAGAGATCCTCACATAAATGTAAATAAAAGTGCAGCGCTAGTTTAGCGCTGCACTTTTATTTATATATAGATATAGATCTATATAGATAGATATCCAAGAAAAAATTTCAAACTCAAGAGACATAATTTTCACTTACATGGCCCCACAAAGGGCTATCCCTTCAGTGCTGAACCTCCCTGCTTTGTGGTTACCCCATAAGGAAATAGTGCCATGGTGGTGGCATCCATCAATCTTCAAAGGGTCGCTAGAACCTGTCCTGCTCAGAGTAGCAGTTAATGTTCTGGCCTTGTCCACAATGCACAGGGGAAACAATTTCTCAAGCTGAGAGCACCTAGATACCAGAGGATGGGTTTTTTCATCCAGAGGAGCTTCAAGCCATCTTTTTTTTTTTTTTTTTTTTTTTTTTTTTTTTTTTTAATAAGGGTAGAATGCTGGCTCCTGCTGGCTCCCTGACCTCCACAGGTTCAGCAACACACTACAGATTTGTAGCTGGGATTGTGGAACCTTTACAGGGGATGCCCTGGTGACTCCATGGGATCAGATCACACTGATGCCTTACTCATCTGTTTTATAGGATCAACATAGGATGCATTCTGGTGTATCTTGTGGCTCTGAGGGTGGGGGGTGTAGGGGTGGGGATGCTTGGATTTTGTCAAGCTTTCTGTGTGCACTCTCAGGTCATCTTGACCTGCAGTCTTATGGGGACATGCTGTCTGCTTCCCGGTCATTGACCTTCACTGCATGGCTAATAAAGGCCAGATTGTAAAAAGTCAGGGGACTTTCAGATTTCGTCATCCCTGCCCTCTTGGATAAGGTTAGGAAGCTTGCTTCCTCCCAAGTTTACCTCTGCATTTGGAAAGCATACTTTTTAAAAATCTAGTGTCTCCTTTTTGGCTTCTCCAGGACATTTGTCCTTTTGTCTCTGTCCTCTTCCTATACATTCTAAGGATATTGCTATTCCTTGCTTAGAATTAGATGCAAGTTTACTCTTCTTCTATGGAATGCGTATGTCAGTCTGATTTTTTTTTTTTTGCCTGCTGGAGTGGTAACGTAAAGGGCAGGCTGCTTCTGATTCTCTGGACTCAACAACTTGTTTCTCAGGCATAGCCATGACTTCAAGGGAGTGGTTTTTTTCTTTTTTTCTTTTTTTTTTTCTCAGTCAAGTCACATTCTACCAGAAGTGTTAAGTGTTTTTTGGGCTTTCCAGCATCTGGGTTCAGTTTTTGCAGGTCTCTAAGGCCGTCATCTGGTCTTCTCTTTGCCAAATTCTAGGTCTAGGTCCAGGTTCCAGTGAATGCAGACTTCAGATAAAAAGGTCTTCAGGCGGCCCTGTGAGATGTTTTCGTTTTCATTTTTGGAAGGGGGAGTTAACTGTTGCTATTCCTGTGGTGTATGATGAAGAAAAGGATTTTACAGGCAAGTCAAAAGTCTAATTTTTCTTTAAGTACATCACAAAACACGGATCACTCTCAGAGTTCGAGTTTTACAGTGCTGGGTTTCAACTTAGCTTTTTGCCAGCGTCCAGTAATGTGGAGTTGGAGCCTAACCTCCATAACCTGAAGAATTAACCAATTGTGTGTCCTGTGAAGAAAAGGAATTTGCAGGCAAGTCAAGAATCTTTTTACCATGTGCAAATATTATCATTACTAAAACTGATGTATTTATTAGTGCTTCGGAGGAGGTAGAAGATAATGCACAGACAGTTGGTATGGATCCAGAATCCGTTTCTTCCACCCAGGACTCTGCATGTACGTATTCATGTCATGTTAAGTTGTAATATATATATAATACGATTACGAATTTGAGTTAGCATTCTATTTCCTCCAGCTACTTATACAAGGTTTTCCATGCTCCCTCTACTCTGTTCAGTTGAAGAAGCAAGTAGAAAAAACCCTGTGTAAGCAAGCTGCCAAGTTGCTGTAGTTAGAGCTTACACACAGTTAGATTGTCCCATGCGATAGCTAATGTGCCAGGCATTTGGTCCCTCAAGAACCCAGCATGGCATCCTGGAAGTAATGCGAGTGTCGCATGCTCCCCATACCTGGAAATGGTGTATTCCTGTTTGCTGCAGGAAGAAGAGGGAAGATTACTATAAGCACGAGGGTGGGGTGGATTTGATGGAACCCAGCATTCCAGGCAGTGGGCTTATAATTTTCTACTAGTACAGTCTCCACACATGTATTCTGCTCTGAACTTTCCCAATAGGTTTCATAAATTTACTAGTGATATTGGCTATGGTTATTCACACTGCTGTGCATGGAAGGTGATATGTTTGTTTATTCATCATTCTATGTTTTACCATTTTTTAAGTAGCTAGTATTTTGTTTTTGCAGCTACCTGTCATTTTGCTAATTTTCCTACAAAAAGCTGGGCCATACTTCTCTTTTCTCATGCATTCCAGCTATTTACTTCCCAAATTTAACATTTGTAATTACTCTGTATATAGTATGTAATTGTTCCCATAGCATTTATTTGTCCTTTAAAATAAGGTCCTACATTTTTACTTGCCAAAGCTTTCTGTGAGTTTTCGGCTAATTTCATTGCAGTTTTTGATACAGATGTATTCCTTTTTTATAGCTGTTATTAGTATTCATGACAGTGAAGATGTTGCAAGTGCACATTCAGAACATCTAAATGAAGAAAATGAAGTGGTGGAACTCAATGGAGAAGTTGAATTACACGTTTTAGAAGACAAAAGTCTAGTGACTGAGGAATACCCTGTGGCTAGGTCCCCACTTTCTTGCTGCTTGGAAGAAGAGGTACTTTCTAATGTAAATGTTTACATTAAAGTTTGTTTCAGCATATGTTTTATAGCTTTATTTAACCACTTCCCGACCGCCCTATAGCAGAAATACTACTACAGGGCGGCACGGCTGCGCAAAATCACATGTGTGGTGTATGTATATATATATATATATATATATATATATATATATATATATATATATATATATATATATATATACATGATTTTGCATTTACGGATAGGGGTCGCGTGCCCTACCCGTGCCGCCATTCGCGGCCGCAGCTGTCAATCACCGGGTCCTGGTCAGTGATTACCGGTGCCTGTTGATTGTCGAGCATCTCCGACGGGGAGGAGAACTGTTTGTAAACAAAACGGTTCTCCTCCCTGTCAGCTCGTGCGCACTGCTTTGGATGGCTGTGCACAGCGATGCAAAGCAGTGTGCCTACAGTGAAGCACATGGACAGAGCCCCTAGTAAAACAGCACACAGTTAACCCTTTGATCGCCCCTCATGTTAACCCCTTGCTGCCCAGTGCCATTAGTGCAGTGTTAGTGCCTTTTTTTTTTTTTTTTTTCTAGCACTGATCACTATTGGTGTCACTGGGGATGTCAGTGACACCAAGTCATTCCCCCCAAATATCAGAATGCCTGCCACAGTCCCACTATAAGTCACTGATCGCCGCCATTACTAGTAAAAAAAATTCCAGTATCTATACCGCCATTTGTAAATGCTATAACTTTCATGTAAAAAAATTAATTTACACGTATTGAGATTTTTCTTAGCAAAGACATGTAGCAGAATACATTTTGGCCTAAATTTATGATGAAATTTGATTTTTTTATATTTTTTTTACTGGACATGTTTAATACAAAAAGTAAAAAATATATATATTTTTTTTTTCTCAAAATTGTCGGTCTTTAAAAAAAAGCACAGGCATAAAAAAAGCACAAAGGCATTCAAATACCACCGAATGAAAGCTCAATTTGTGGGGGGGTAAAAATTAATTTGGGTGCAGCATTGCATGAAGCAGCAGTATATATATACATGATATAAATCATGTATATATACATGATTTACATTTGCATGTAGGGGGTACGCGCGTGCCACCATTGGCAGCTAGGGACGTTAATCATGGGTCCCGGCTCGACGATTTCTGGCCGTCACTCAGCTATCGTCGGGGAAAGCTGACGAGAGAGACCTGTGCGTAAACAACACCGGTCTCTCTCCTGTCAGCATGGACATGCTGTTTTGTATCTCTCTGCACAGCAGAGAGATACAAAACAGTATGTCTCCCTAGTAAAACACAACACACACAGTTAAGCCTTGATTGCCCCAGATGTTAACCCCTTCCTGCCCAGTGTAATTAGTATAGTGTCAGTGCTTTTTATTAGCACTGATCACTGTATTAGTGTCACTGGGGATGTCGGTGACAGTTCCCACCCAGTGTCAGAATGCCCGCCACAGTCCCGTTGCAGGTTGATCGCCGCCATTAAAAATAAAAATTCCAGTATATATACCGCCATTTGTAGATGCTCTAACTTTCACGTAAACCAGTTAATTTACATGTTTTGGGATTTTTTTTCTTTAGCAAAGATATGTAGCAGAATACATTTTGGCCCAAATTTTTATGAAGAAATTTGAGGGTTTTTTTTAAATTTTTTTGTTATTTTTTTTTATTGGATGTTTCATAGCAAAAAGTCAAATAGTTTTTTGTTTTTTATCTTACATTTTTCTTTTTGTTTATAGTGCAAAAAATAAAAACCACAAATGGTTAATATTTTTAACATTGCACTGTTTATCTCTTCCTCACCTCCCTGCCTGTCTCCAGCACCGCAGCCAGGGACTAGCAGGGAGGGGAGAGACCTTGCAGTTTGAGCACTAATTGGGTGCTTGTCAGGAAAGGTGAGTGTTGGGCTTATTCTTTATCCCTTTCACAGCCAGAGCCATTTTTGCGTGTTTTGCACACATATAAAAAATAATTTTAGGTCCAAAACACCCAAACAGAGATTTTCTGAAAACGGACACCCTAGAGAATAAAATAGTGGTAGGTCCAATTTTTGTCACATGATATTAACACAAAGGTCTAGGAAATGCAAAACTTCAGAAAAGGCACACTTAAGTTAATTTTAGGGTACAAAAAGGCAGTACATGCATGTCTCGGGTGTTGGGCGATACAAATTACACATCCCTGTGCCCTGTTCACTCCCCTGCCCTCCGCTGGACTACAGAGCCCCTTCTCCACTGCACATCTCAGAAACATAGGGTGAATTTGTGTAGTCCTATGGGGAGAATCAGATAGGGCTGGTTAAATTTTGGGATTTTAGAGCAGACGCAGAATGTAGTTAGAAGTTCACTGAATTTCTCGCAGAATCGGGTGTTTTTTTGTTTTTTTTTTTTTTTGCAGGAGAATTAAAGGGATAGAACATAAGAAAATTGGCAAATAGAGATTTACTGCCTGATGATTTTATTTTGCTGGAACTTACACTTTAAAGTGAAATATGTTCGCATTTCCCTTTTTATAATTTCTGAATATCAATGAAAAAAAAAACTTAATAAACTATTTAATATATTTTTGCAGGATAAGGATTTAAAGGAAAAAGAGGCATCTGAATCTGAACTCATGACAAGCTGCCATCAGTTGCATCCAGCTATTGAATTCCAGGTGTATTCAAATGCTGAATTTATTGAAGAGCACTACACATGTGAACATTCTGATGATAGAAATTCTTTGGAAACTGATGATGCTGAAGTGGAGAATGCTCTAGCTGCTAGTAATTTTACATTAATCCTTGAGGAAGAAGGTGAAGGGGGAGAGCATGAAGCTGCGGAAGGTGAAGCAGGAGAAAATGAAGCTGCGGAGACTGAAGTGCTTGAATCCAATCATTCTTCAGACAAAGAACTGAAAACCCTTTCAAAGATGTCATTCACAATGACTGAGGAATATGCTGGCCAAGAGATTAAAATTACTGACACATGCCCTGCAAATGCATTCACGCTTGTAGATGGTGAACATGAGACAAAGATTATGGAAACCTTGCCTTATGTGCCAGAGCCAATTAAGGTAGCTGTAGAAGAAAACTTACTTGATGTATTTAAAGGTAATAGTGGCAAAGATTTTACTTCTGAAGTGGATCACGAATCAGCCCACGAAAATGAGTCTCTAAAGAAGCGCAGAAGTGTCCGCACTGCTAGAACGCCTGCAAAAAAAAAGGAAACAAAATCAGAAGATATGGGAGCCGAGAGCGTCATCCAAGCGGTAACACCACAAAAAAGATCAGATGTTGCAGGGCTCAGAGAATCTCTAGAAACCTCACCAAAGGAAGACTTGTCTGCGGTTGCTAACCCTCAAACCCCGCGGAGAACTGTAAGGAAATCGGCAAGAACTGAAAGTAAAAGTGCTGAACTTGAGGTTCAGCATCCAGTAACTCCCAGAAGAGGGAGAAAAGCCAAAGAAAATGAAGAAAAGCTGACACTAGCCACTTCACAGGAGGAACAACCATCCTCACAAATTTTCAGAAGGAAAAGAAGCCAAGTACCTGAAAAAACTCAAAGTACTGAAGTGGGATTAACAAGTGTAGACGAAGTCACAGTACAACTGCCACTCTCTCCAGCTAGAACTCGTAGAAGTAAAGCTCCCATTTCAGATGAAGTGAACAAAGGAAATGAAGACTTGCTGGATCCAAAGGTTGGTGTTCTAACACCTCCAAGGATTACAAGATCTTCTAAAATCATACAGGAAGCTGAAACAGAACTATTGACTAAAACTTCTGAAACTGATCAAGTTACTACACCTACGAGAGGCCGGAGGGGAAAGCGTGCTGTAAATGAGTTGGTCAAGCATTTTGAGCTTAATGCTATTCAAACAAATTCTAGTCCACCCGTTTCTCCAAAAAGGGTCTCCTTAAGATGGTCAAGGATAAAATCAGAAAATCAGATAGATCATCAAGCAGCTGAGCAAGAAAATACACAGTCACAAGAGCAAATTGTAGACACACCTAGGAAAAGGACAAAAAAGTCTAATGTTGGCAAACTTGCAGAGGAATCCACAGAGATTTCTAAAAAACCTCTCTTGTTAGAACAAGCTGATGAGCTTGCATTGACCAAAGGAACAAAGAAAGGGAACTTGTCTGTCAGACAGACTAGAAAACGTGCTCTTCCTTCAGTGTCAGAGGAAAGTGTGGAGGAAAGACTGAATGTTTTGCATCCAGTTGACAGTCAACACACGGCACCTAATGCTGATCAAGATGACCAGATTAAAAGCATCCGCTTAACCAGGACTCGATTGAGTAATCCTTCCACGTTTGCAGATCCCTCCACGGTTACATTTGCATTCACTACTCCTACTCCAAGACGTAGAAAGAATGCAAAAGGTATTTTTTGCTTTATACAGCTATATGATCATTGTAATAGATTTCATATCTTCCCTGTTATAGTTATGGCTAGGTTGTTGTTTTTTGTTGAATGCAAAATATAGAATGGAAGCAGATTTCAGATTAGAGGCATATTTTTCTAAGATTCACTGGAAACATTACTTGTACGTAGAAGTTCTTTACCAAATCTTTCAACTGGTGCACCACGTTTTTTTGGCATATATTATTGTCATGGAAGGAGAGCTGTGTTAATATGGAGTTAAACATTACACACAGGTTAATAATAAATATAGATTTAATGCAGTCTTTTATTCTCTGCACCTGACTTTTCCAGGGAGTGGTCTTCCCAGGGTTTCCGAAACAGCGTTTGTTGTGTGTGGGGTTTTTTTTTTTTTTCTTTCTTCTTCTTCTTCTTCTTTCTCCTCAGGTTGGTTTCCTCTTTCACCTCAACCTGGACATTGTCCCTCCCTTCTTTATTTCCGGCTCTAAAACATCCCAGGTATTTTCTTGGGGTGTTATTTTCTCTCTACTAACTTGGTACAATGGAAGGCGCAAGGTCTTTTTTCCACTTATTAGAAATTGTCAGTCGGGCAGCAATTAAGATGTGTATTATTAGCCTGCGAAATAGAATGCACTGATTCCTATTCCTAATAGAGCTAGTTCAGGCGTTGGGGGTGTTATAATACCTGAAATGGAGGAGATTAGGGAAAATGTGGTGTTCCAGAAGCTTACTATCGACCTTCAAGACCACAGTATATGCATCAAATTGCCTTGTTGGCCGCAGTTCTTCCAGCAGTCAGAGGAGCTGTTTGGGAACATAAATGATAGCCTGTAAGGAGTGATGTACCATCTATGAATAATTTTTAATGCAATTTCCCAGTGAGACACACAATGAGTTGATTTATAGATGTGGGTAAATGCCTGACTCCATTCTTGAAGTGTAAAGGTTTGATTTAGTTCCTTTTCCCACTTAAGTATAGTGTTAGTTTTAATCATTTGGTCTTTCAGTTGTAAATGGTTATAAAACCATGATATACCTCCTTTATTGTCTGATAATGTGTGATAATAGTCCCATACCCTTTTATCCAGTGATAGGGACTCTGTTTGATCGTTTTGAGAAAATTAGTGATCTGAATAAATTATACCTTTCCTTGTAATGAGTGTCTTTCGGAATGGCAGCCCATTCATTTCAATGGGCTGCTGTGCCTGCGTTTCCTGCAGGAAAAGGCTCCTGCACCATTTTTAGACCACAACGGCTATGAAATCACATTGTGCTTTTGAAATTTCCCAGTGGTTCCCAAGCCTGCAAACGCGCTGCAGTTTTAGATGTGTGGGGATGCCATTGAGAATGAATGGCCGCTCTACTCATCTCTAAAGAGCAGCATGTTTTGGTTGCGGGACCAGCTGAGCTAGCCACAATAGTGTGAATCTAGCTTCAGTTGGCATTGGTTGACCATGCAATACTGGACACACTGACTGGAAAATTGGTTGGACAATGCCACTGCAGTGGCGTGCATCAACAACCAGTGAGGAATCAGAAATTTGCTGCAACCAATGGAGTAGAATTCTGTCAGGAACAGAAATTAATCTTCTGTTGTGTTTGTTTCACTAGAGTGTACGGTTGGCCAACACACTTCCTCGTTTTGCAGTGCCCAGACCCAGGGGAATGGTCCCTTCACTTGGTCCAACTGGATGTGTTACTCTTGACGTTATTGGGCTCTTGGCAGATGCTGAGCTGTTCCAGATTGTTCAGATCTTCTGTCCTAAGTCCTGATTTACCCTCCTGATTTTAATGGCATTGTTGTTGAGACACAGGTCTTGACAGACAGGGCCATCTTAGAATCAGTGATTCCTATGATGCTAAAAGTGGGATAACAGACCTTGTGGGAAGTAGGCTATCACACATGGCATACTTTGCTTGGTTCATGGTTAGAAATTTTTAACCCTCGAAAATCCTCCATGGTTGATTCCTGACCTTTCTGCAACTGGGCCTGGATCAGCCTTTCACTAGAGTACCACGGGTTGATCTCAGTCCTCTTTTATCTCATTGGTTTTTTTTTTTTTGTTTTTAGCGAGTACAGGTACTGATACTTGCATACTTGTGCTCAAGTACTTTCTGATACCGATTACTGATACCTTTTGTGGTGTGATTTTAGCTCATACAAAATTAATGGGCTCAAATTGCACTACAAAGATTTGCATGGGATTTGAACAGGAATGCGGTGTTATTCCTGTCTGAATCACATACGGTTTGCCTATGGGTGCAGTGCCATTTGAGCCATACAAAATGGCTCAAATCGCACCACATTTGTAGGGAAACCGCATGTGAATTTGAACAGGAATCGCACTGCTACTTCAGCTCAAATTACACGCGTTCATTTTGTTATGATTCAAATCACACCGCAAAGGTATTTCAGGTATCGGAGCATTTGCACTAGTACGAGTACTCACGCAATGCTTGGTATCAGCACACATATCTGTATCGGGCAACCCTACTTCCAACTCTAAGACATTTGTGCAGGGTGTTATTCATCTTGCTTCCTGTGAAAGTGGAATCTGAATATGGTTCTCCCAGCACTTTTGAACCAGTCTCACTCACAAGGTTGCATTTCTTGTTGCCATCACATCTGTGAGGCATGTGTCTGAACTCTGTCCTGCAAAGAACACTTCCTTGTCTTACACATTTACACAGGGACAAGATGGTGTAAAGGCCTTGGAGTCTCCTTTCTGCCTATGGTGGTTTTTGTCTTTCACAGCCAGGACCATCATGCTTCTTGCCCTGTACCTGGCTCCATTTCATCAGAACAAGATCTCCTTTAGCCCTGGTTCACACTGGTGTGTCTTGTCATATGATTTGACAGTTTCAAATCACAGGACAAGTCACACCCTATTGTCAGCAATGGAATCGTTCACATCGGTGCTGCTCCGACTGCGGTGCCACACCAATTTGAAAAAAAGTTCCTGCACTATTTTTTGCTATTTCAGGTGTGACTTGCATTGAATCAGACTTTGAAAATCATGCAACTTCACTTGACGTCGCACAATTTCAAAGCCGCATGTCATGAGCCGCTTCATGAAGCTGCACAGATGTCATCTAAGTGGCACTGACATGCGGCTTTGAAATTGTGCGACATCAAGTGAAGTTGCATGATTTTCAAAGTCTGATTCAATAGGATGTTTATCTTGGCTTCTTGACATCAGGCTACTGTCCCAGACTTACAAGGCTGCCACCTGGTCTTCTGTCAACACATTTTTCAAGTTGAATGATGTGTCCCCATTAGGGAGATTTACTCTCTGTATTTGTCATGTTTCTCATTATCATCGAAAATGTGAAAGTAAAAGAAAACAAATTTGATTGCCCTATGCTTTCAGCATATATGCAATTGTTTGGATGTTTAAAGTAAGTTTTCTAGCAAAAAATACAGATTTTAATTTGCTGGAAAAAAATTAAAATATTGTCCCAGTAGACAAGTGGTTATTGAAATGAAAACGAATTTACAGTTCAAAAATGGCATTTTGGCTTTAAAATGAAAAGGAGTATAGAAATAGGGCTAATGGCTTTGTGTCTTTTTTTTTTTTTTTTTTTTTTTTTCCTGGCTTTGGTATTTGCAGGCTTCACTATACACAAGGTACTTAAGCCAGCATTTAGAGGAAATGAACCTGTACTTGGAGTATTGTATACACGCATTTACGTATGCTTTGTTGTAACTTTTTTTTTTTTTTTTTTTTTTTTTTTAGTAGTTGAACTAGTGGTTCCGCCCATCTCTCCAGAGTCTGTACAGCCCCCTTTCGCTCCTCAGTACATCTTTTCTCCCCCTTCTCTGAGGTCAAGGAGGACAACCAGAAACTCCACTATTGTAACAGAGAAAGAACAGGTTAGTCAAACTCAGGTTTTTTTTTTTTTGGTTGTGATTATGTATATTTATTTTTTTTATCCCTCATGCTAGTCTTGCCTGCAGCTTACTTGGCCGTATGTATCTTACAGGATTTGAAGATTCCAGAATCCCATGACAAAGAAACTGAGGTTCCTAAAGAACAAATATTAAAACGACCAAGGGGAAGACCTCCTAAACATAAAGGAAACAAAGCAGGAAAGTATGTACATTTTTAAGGAGGCCTGTATTATTTGACAGATTTCTTTGTTAATGCATTAATATTCCTAGCTGAATACTAACATTCTGAGAGCTTAGGGACAGTAGCCCATATTTCTCTTGGGAAGGTTTGCTTTAACCCTTTCACTGCCACCAGCATAAGACTTGCATCGAATCTGGGAGGGAGTAAACACCTCCCTACTACAGCAGCTTGGAGCATTTGTATAATTGTCACGTCAACTGTCTGTTTTTCTGGTGGAACTGACTACTTGTTTTCCCTCTGACTCCTTGCCATTTGAAAGGGTCTTTCTCTTCTTTGCAGGAACCTTGGTTGTAGAGAGGCTTTCCTTCTAGAGGCACTTCTTTCTCTTGCCTCTTCTAAATCCACCTCAACCCCTTTCCCTGTTGCCTTGGGTCTACAGCTGTTAAGATCTTTTCTCCCCATATCTTGAGTGGCTGTGTTTCCAGAAAAAGTGGTTCCTGCTACTTCATGAGATTCTGCTCGGAGTAAGTCTCCTAGCTCAGACACTGTGTGGCTCCATCTTGGTACTGCTGACTTCACCTTCTGGAAAGAATGGAAGTTCTTATGTCTTATGTCAGAGAGAGCCTGGTTATGGTTGTAAATGGTTTTGTGGGTTTCAGTCCTATTCATGCTGATCCCTTTGAGGTCGGAAACCATTTCGTCCCAACTGGTAGCCTGTAGACATGGAGGTGAGGTTCTTGCTGCTGTTCAGACCCTGTATTTTGATTAAAGAGTTTTGGATGGGGGCCCTGGGCTGTTTGCAGGTGGAACTGACTAGTCTTCTGCTGCAGATATCCTTTGTCAGTGAAAGCCTTTGGGGACTTGCCAACCTGGGGTTAAGTCCCTCGTTGATTGATCTGCAGATTTATTAAGGAAGCCCTGTTGGCACCATTGCCTGTTCTAGATGGATATTCTTCACTATCCTGATAACTCGTGTTCATACCAAAGATCCTACTGCCTCATTGGATCTGGGGAGTCTGCAGCATTGTTAACCATATAATTGTGGAATTCAGGGTTTATGCAGGATATATTTCTGAGTGCTTTTCTCGGTCTTTCTCTAGTGATGCCTTATTCTCTGTTCCAACACAGTTGTAATCTATGCTGACTGTGGGAGTGATTCCTGGATTCCCTGCTGGGCTCGAGAGTCCTTTTCATTCTCCTTGCAGGTTGTGGTTGTAGTCACTTCAATAGTTTTCCTTGGCAGCCTTGCCATGGCACTGTCTGACAATGTTTCCAGGTACACCGTTTATCTCTTGGCTGTTATGGGTTGAGGTGAGTAAGGACTTTGGGCCTTCTTTATAGCCTGGCTTGCCTTGTCTTACACCCAGCAATGGGCAAACTACGGTCCGGCGGACCTTTTAATCCGGCCCGCGGAGCGTGGCAAACATTGGCTGTCAGGATGTAGGCGGGGCAGCGTGACGAACTCCTCTCCTCTCACAGTCCGCCCTGAGGACCGGAACGGCGCGGGGGGGAACACGGCGAGAGGAACGCGCGGAGCAAAGGTAAGTGAATTGACACAATATGGGGAATGAATTACTATAGGGGGGATGAATTACTATAGGGGGGATGAATTACTATGCTTACTATGGGGGAATATTACTATACTTACTATGGATGGCATGGTAGTGGCTGGGCCGGCCAGCAGCTAGTCCGGCCCCCAGGTCCAATATATGAACCCATTGCGGCCCTCAAGTCAAAAAGTTTGCCCACCCCTGTCTTACACTGACCTTCCCAGGTCCTTTTGTCTGGCACCTGTTTGTTTTGCTTCTAACTTGGTCTGTGGTTCAATGCTGCTTTCCGTGAGAATCATTCCTCCTAGCTGGTGACCATTCTACAAAAATGCAGTATAATGCAGTTTATTAATCCTTAAATGTTACGGATGCAATCGTTTTTCTTTTCTTTTACGGCTTTCTTCTTTATTTCACTTGATAATCCAACCAGTAAGACATTTCATGTCTAGGGTGTCTCCACTTTGGATGAAGTAGTGAAGCAGACAGCTTTGGACAGCAGCACTGTCAGACTTGGGTGGAGGGTACTCTTAGAGCAGTAGATTTAGATACACTTAATGAAGCAGTTTTCTTCCTTTTGGGATAAAGGTTTTACCTAAAAGCTTCAGCTGCCCAGGCTTTGAGCCACAAGATTCTGTGCATGTGAATGGAGATTAGAGCTGTTCTGGAATTGTTAGACCTATTACATGTTCAAGGGCTTTTACACAAAAGAGCAAAGCAGAAGGAATCTGCTGTTGAAACACGGTCCTGGAAAACAGGATCATGTTGGTGGTTCGTTGTTTCAGTCCAGTTAGTTTCAGTTTGTCATCCTAAAATTGCACAGAGCTGGTTACAGGGCTGGCCCTCCCCGCAAGAATTGAGGCTCTTTAAGGATTGGTAAACTACATAATATTTTGGTTTTTGGGTTTAATACCTCTTTAGATGTGGTTCGATGCATTAGTTTTCTTATGTTAGGCTTTTCTCCCTTTATTTTACCTGGTGATCCAGCCAGTAACACACTGCCAGACTTTGGGTGTATGCATTCTGGATAATGTAGTAATGCAGCATTGTTAGGCTGGGGGGAGGGTAGTGGTAGACTAGCAAATTTAGATGAACATGACTTAACAACTTTAAGCTCAACTCCAGCTAACACTTTATAAGCAGTTACAGTAAAAGATTTAACATAACTGAATAGAAGCTGACCATTGTAAACACCGCTGTCCGTATTCGTTTCTCAGCCCTCCAACTGGTACTTTGTATGGACAGGTAAATTGAAAAATAAGACTTACTGACTGGATAACCAGGTGACAAAGGAAACAGACTACGAAAACGAATGCAGCTGCCTTATCTAAGAATTAGTGAGCTGCAGTTTAATACACGTTTATTTTTAGGTTTAATACCTCTTTTAATCCTCCATGCTCTCCTACTGGTCATGGTGATAGGTTCCCGTATCAGGCAGGGTGTGCAGCCTCTTCTTGTGTCAGTTGTGGGTTCTGTTTCTTGAGGCAGCTCTTGGGTTGGGTTGTTCGCAGTCTCCTGTTCTGTTTTTTGGGCCTGATGGCTTGTTGCTGGTTGACCACCCCACAGTGCTTTTGTCATCCCAACATTATATGAATTCCTGTGTCCCTCAGTAGACCAGATGGGAAAACAGGATTGAGGGACACACTCTGTTATGCCTATATGTTAGATATTGCTTGCTACCAACTGAGGCATGCTGGACGGGTAGAAAAGAGGTAGTGGTGCACTGAAATTTAAATTCTGGTGCCGAAACAGATACCGACAATTCAGAATGCATGTGGCCAAAAACCGAAATGTCTGCATATATGGGGTTAATGTATGATTTTATTGCCCATAGTTCCCTATGTGATAGCATATGAGTGACAGGTCCTCTTTGTAGGAGGCAGTGTGTCCAAGGAGTGGGTAGGAGAGGAGCAGTCTATACAGTGAGGGAGAAGGGTATACAGAGAGGCTCCTTCACTGGCTGTCACTATATATCAGTGGCAATTGCTGGGTTTTTGTTTTTTTTTTTTCCCTTCACTATAGCTCACAGAATTAGCTGTCACTTTCCCCGAGTTGAAGGAAACTTTGTTTCTTTTATCTGGGGAAAAAAAAAACTAAAAGGAAACCGTTTCTTTTAACTCTGGGAAAGAAACTAAATGGAAACTTTCTTTTAGCTGAGGGGGAAAGTGACTGCTAATTCTGTGAGCTATAGTGAAGAATAATTACATTTAAAAACTGGCACTGACATATAGGGGTTTATTTACTAAACCTGGTTGACTCAGAATCTTGGGCACCTGTGCATGGTAGCCAATCAGCTTCTAACCTCAGCATGTTCAGTTAAGCTTCAGCAATAAAACCTGGAAGCTGATTGTTTTTTTATGCAGAAGTGGACAAGATTCTGAGTCAACCAGGTTTAGTAAATAAACCCCATAGTGACAGCCAGTCACTGTATACACTGCTCTGCTCCTGCCTTTCTCAGCCACTCTACCCTCACATCTGCAGTACACACAGTCTCCTGTATCGGATACATTTTTCCAATCGGCAAAATGCCAATAGGGCTATTTTCGGCTGATATGTTTTGGTGGCCAAAATTTCCGTGCATCCCTAAAAAGAGGTTATTCTGGGCTAGCCTGCAGTTTTTTGACCGTTGTTTAAATTCTCCTGTAGGCAGGAGTAAAACCCAACAGTGTGCTTTGTGTGCCTTAAAGGACTCCAAGAAATTTTTTTTTTTTTTTTTTGTGAGAGGAGTACAAAAATCCTATATCATCATCATCATACCGAACAGCACCCAGGCAAAGTATTCATGGTCCCTGGATTATAGGCGCATACATTCAGGTGATTGGATACAGGCAATGACCAGTGCTCTCAAAATAATAAGTTCACTATCGTCTCAGTATAACAGAAATCAGACATCATACATCCATCAACTTTTTCCTGTGAATCCAATCTTCCTATACAGTGATCTCCAAAAAAATTTATTATAATATAGTGTAGTATGCTCAGTACACCATGCCTCAACTCCTGTCCAATGTGCTCACATTTATAATAACCATATGTGTATTTGTTCACCAGTGTAAGCTCCAAGGAGTAGGGCCCTCCTAACCCTCTTGTATTGAACTGTATTGTTGCTGTATTGTCTCCCTTTATATTGTAAAGCTCTCAGCAAACTGTTAATATATAAACTGCTATATAAATTCTGTATAATCATAAGCATTCTTTGTCTACCCTTACCCTTCATATACTTTTATATCCAATCCGTTATTCACAGCGTCACTTCAACTTTGTCTCCTTGTGTCTGGTACTTCAATGATTCTCGCATGAAGATCCACACGATTTCACCCAAAATGCCAATATAGTGCAATACTGTTTTCCAAAAATCTCTCTCAGATAGAAAGCCACTTGATTTTTAAATTTTTTTTTACTGGACATGTTTTATAGCAAAAAGTCCAAAATATTGGTTTTTTTTTTTTCTCAAAATTGTCAGCCTTTTTTTTTTTTTTTTTATAGCGCAAAAAATAAAAAATGCACAGGCGATCAAATACCACCGAAAGAAAGCTCTATTTGTGTGAAAAAAAGGACATAAATTTCATTTATGTACCGTATTGCATGACCGCGCAATTGTCCGTTGAATTGGTGCAGCGCCGAGTAGCAAAAAGAGGCCTAGTCATTAAGGGGGGTAAATCCTCAGGAGGGCAAGTGGTTAATAGGGTAACTCCATGCACCTTACCAGATTGGCGCCTTTTCAAATCACTTTTCGCCAAACTCCTCCACTTTCAACAATCCCCTTTTTAACTCCAGCTTCCCTCCAGGGCTCCCATGCAAGAGCTATCATACAGAGGCCATACTGCAGTAAACCCTTCTAAAACCATATATTTATTAAAATCTATACACTTACATTCAGTGTAAAAAATGCCTGTAACCACTTCCAAAATTGCTGCTGCGGCACTTCCAGCATATGCGACCAGTTTTGTCATCAAGACTTCTTCCAAGGATGTCCTTGGAAGAAGTCTTGATGGCAAAACCGGTCGGAAGTGACATCAGACATGGAATTAACGCAACCGCATATGCCGGAAGTGCCGCAGCAGCCATTTTGGAAGTGGTTACAGGCGTTTTTTTTACACTGAAGGTCTCTAAGTGCATAGATTTTAATAAGGTGCATGGAGTGACCCTATTAAACATGTGCATGCGTTGTTTATAAACAATATCACACTATATTAGTCTGTTTTTTGGGAGCTCATTCACACAAGTCACACTGGTAAAGAGTAGGCAGAAGGTGGAATGGTTTGTTTAAAGCACAGTTTATTGGAAGTTCGGTAAGGAGTTTGGAATGTCTTTGGAGAGGTGATACACTAAGGTGGATCCTTCTATGGGTATTAATGGGAATGCACAGTTAATATAGTATAATGTGAGTGCCTTTCTATCCTGACAGAAATTTTTAGAAAGCAGTATTGTACTATATTGGTATTTTGAGTGAAATTGTGTGGATCTTCATGTGAGACGACCATTGAAGTACCAGACACGAGGAGACACAGAGCTGAAGTGACTCTGAGAATAACTGATTGGATATACAACAAGTGTATGAAGGGTTACGGGTAGATAAAGAACACTGGTGAACAAGTACACTTTTATAACGAAAAAAAAAAGTGAGCACATTGGACAGGATATGAAGCATGGTGTATTGAGCATACTACTCTATATTTTTTTTTGGAGATCACTGTATGGGAAGATTGTATTCAGAGGGACAAGTTGATGGATGTATGACGCCTGATCTGCTGTATACAGAGACGATATTGAGGTTATTTTTGCACTGGTCACTCCTTTCATTTCTTCCTGTGAGGGGAACAGATTGACTCCAGCCGCTAAGGGAAGGATCATTGTTTACTATATTGTGTTTGTATAAAGATAAAAGGGGGGGGTCCAGCGCATGGTTTAAAATGATTTGATTGGATACAGGCACCTACTGAGAGCTTCCTTCATAACCCTACCCCACTCTGTGAGTCCTCAGTTTTGTGCTAGTGTCCTAAAATGATTGACCTCTTCTCCTTCATAGAGAAATCACTCTTAGCTTAACTAGTATATTTTCTTTGGATTCTTCAATCAACTCCTCACTGCCTTCTAATGCCACAAATAGACGCAGTGCAGCCTGGAACAATGCAACCTTGGTAAATCGTTGGAGCCATGTCCAAACCCCACACTGTGGGGAAGTCCTGTAATGGTGCTCTTGGCACTGGATCCTGCATGACGGCTCTTAGTTCAACACTTGTAGGCAGTCGCTGAGTCCTAAATGGATCCAGAGCCAAGGTCCATTCCTGTGAAACCCAAATACTGATGACCCTTTCAGGGGTATGCCCATTGTTGGGGTTAAAGCCTGGGCTTTTTATATACAGTCCAGCTTTGTGGACAAGTAAGACAGGGTCTCCTGGATCTGATTATTACTGTAAAAGACCAGAGATGTATTTGAGTTGTATTCACTATAGTGTAAACTTTTCAAAATTTGATGCTAAAACTCAGCCACTTAGAAGTTGGTCTCAGGTGAATGACCAGGTTTGCCATAACACAGGTCACACACTTCACCCCTACGTCTGATTTTAGAATCTTTATATGGCCGCTTCCTCGCACCCTTTTGCTAAAATGATAGCTACAAGACAGTCTACATCTGGGTTGCTGCTTTCTCCTTTGGGACACACTCTATTTTCTGCACCTCTCTGATTACCCCACAGGGGTATACACTTCCATGTAGCTATGGCATAGCCTAGGTGAAAGGGAGCCATTGCAAACATTTGTTGTGCTGTAGGCCCGCATAACAGTTAATTTCAGTGACAATGCGTCCTTTGCACGGGAGCAGAAGCCGACTCAAACACTGGTTATAGCCCTATTTCAGGCAGTGCAACAATGTCACAATTCTTTAGACAAAATAATCTTTTCCCAAAGCTCAAACTCCACTCCTCTTCTACTCCCGTTTCCCTACCTGAGTCAGATCCTGAAGTGCGTGTCCTAGACTAGGTAGACAGAGAATGGAATAAAAAGGATGTTGGAGGAATTTGTTCAAGATTTTTCTTCCCTCAGATCACGGCTATATTGAAGAGGGAGCTTCACACAACATACTTTCTAACATAAAAAGCCTTGGCATTGTGCAGCTTGATTCTCCTCCATCTCGCCATGTCCCTTTGGGACAAAATCTTTCCCAGTTCATGAAGTGATGAGACTGCAATCTTTTGATTGTATTACTCCAGGAAGGTTTTCTCCCCCCCCCAAAATCTTTGCTGTACTCTATCCAATAGAAACATCTCACTGTACCAATTGTAGATGGTCCTTCTTTTAAAGATTCTTACATAGAAGATTTGAGACACTATTTAAAGGCTCCCTTTACTTTGGGGGGCCCAGCCCTGCAGCAAGCACTTGCGGCATTTTCAGAATGTCAAACTACAGCTAACTCAACTAGGGCAATGAAAAACAGGGCCATGTTGGTTTAACAGAGCATTTACAGCAACTACATTTAGCTCTGCTTTTCTCTTTGGATGCCCTGGAATATGGCATGAGAATAATTTCAAGAATGGCCCTAATTTCCATTCACATGCCCAGAATCTTGTGTCTAAAAGCCTGGAAGCTACTTGTAACAAGCACCTTGCATATATATGCTTCTGCAAAGAAGGTGTCTGTTTAGAGAGGCGCTTGATCAATTTATAAAACATGTCACAGGAGAGGATTTACTCCCACAGTAGATCCCAAAACTCTCATCCTCAGAAGCCTCTACCTCCTCCAAAATGCAAAGCACCTTATCACTCTAATCCCTATTTGTCCTGTTCTCAAGACTTGCAAAGGACACCCTACTTCCAAGTCAACCATTGTGAGATGAATAAGAAATCTGATGGCTAGAACTTACACAAGCCAGGATAAATCTCCTTCTGCACTTTTTCTGACTATTCCACTAGATTGGATTCCTGGGTATTTTTATCACCAGGCCTCTGTAGCCCAGCATTTTGCATGTATTCTTGAGATGTACTGATATTTTTTTATTTATTTATTTTTTTTTTTTTAACACCCTGACATATACTTTAACTCAGCACTTCCTTCCTTTGTTATAGCAAGTGCTCATTGATGTTTAGTTCATTTTGTTTAATTGATGTAATCTTGGTGTTTTGACAGGTCAGTAGGTAAAGCAACCTGGTCACCCCCATCTGTAGAAATTCAGCTTCTTTCGCCACCGGAAAGTCCAGATGTCGACTCAGAAAATACAAAGTCAGTATCCACAGAAACCAAAGCATTGAATCAGAACCAACTGAGAAGAACCAGAAGAAGAATAGTATCCATACCTGTAACACGCCGGAAGATCAGATGATTACGATTTTATGGTTTTAAATTCTGCATGTGAATTGTATTACCTGTAATATTAACATATATTAAAACACAACTGGTCTCGGGGAGGATAATTTATATAAATTATTGTAAATGTTCTTAAAAGTGTAAATTAAAAATTTAGTTCACATATAAGGGAAGAATATTCTTCCTATACAAAAGGATTATTTTCTATTTTGTATTAAATCTTCATACCTTTATAAAATATGTATTATAGTTTCATGGAATGGTAAATAAAACGATATTGCGTTTAAAATATTTTCAGTTTCTGATTTATTTTTATTTTTTTTCTTGAATGGGACATGTACTTTAACCGCCTCCTGCCCACCATATAAGGAAATGAAAGGCGGGCGGCAGCTCTCGCTCTCGGAGGACGTCATATGACATCCTCCCACTCTAACTGCGCATGCGTGCCCCTGTGATTGTTGCTGCACTGTGCCCCTGGGACACAGCAGCGGATCACCGATCACAGTGAAGAGCCGATGACACAGGCTGTCATGTGATCAGCTGTGTCCAATCACAGCTGATCGCATGTAAACAGGAAATGCTGGTTATCGTCAGTCCTCTTCTTGAGGGGACATCATGATCATCAGGGCACTGATCATAAGTGCCCTGATGATCAGTGTAGCCCCATCAGTGCCACCTGTCAGTTCCCATCAATGCCACATCAGTGCCCACCAGTGATGTCTGTCAATGCCCATCACTGCAGCCTCATTGGCGCACATCAATGAAGGAGAAAAATTACTTACAAAATTTTATAACAAATGAAAAAACTTTTTTTTCATAATTTTCAGTCTTTTTTTTTTTAGTTTAGCAAAAAATAAAAAAAGTGATTAAGTACCACCAAAAGAAAGTTCTGTCTAAAAAAAGATAAAAATTTTGTTTGGGTACAGTGTTGCATGACAGCGCAATTGCCATTCAAAGTGCGACAGCGCTGAAAATTGGCCTGGGCAGGAAGGGGGTAAAAGTGCCCAGTAGGCAAGTGGTTAAAGTATTGGTAGAGGCTGAAAGTTTTTTACCTTTTGTGCATGAATGTCTCCATTTTTCTCATGAGAACGCAGCTGAAGAAAACCCTATGTGAATAACAAATATAAAATATAGTCTCCAAAGTAATGCACTGAACGAGGCTATTTTGAATGTTAGAAAAGAGACTACTATTCTAAACTGTGGTCATGTTATAGAACACTGCCATATAATTAAACAGAGCAGGAAAAGAAACTTTCCATGTGTTCATTTAATATTGAAAACTAATCTGCTTTAAGACGTGACACAACCACAGTGTATGGTTGTGCTCTTTTTGGTTTCAATTCTAAATCAAATTTCAGCTGTTTTTCTACATTGGTTTTTGGCATTTCCAACCTTTTATAATGCATAATGTATGTTAAAGCTGTTTTATGCCCACCTAAAACCTTATCTGCCCTATCTCATCAGTAGTCCTATCGAGCCTGTGCTCAAGATTAGCCAGGGTGGGAGGGGCAAAACACATCAGAAGACATGGCCAGAGTGGTGGCTGATACCTTCCCATACATCTTACTCGAGGTTGGTTGAGAGGCGTCCATTTCCCTATTGAATCCCACAGAGCTTCTCAACAAGACTTTTAGGCCTCATAGTGTCCTTCCAGGCTGTTCGTAATCGCGCAATTTTATTTGAAACCCCTCTAACACACACTTGTTGGCATCAAACAAGCGCTTTCTCTCAACCTACCCATACTCCTTTCCAGCCAAACAAGGAATTCCCTAGCTAGTTGGCTCTCGAGACCATACTTAACAATGGGGAAGTGGCTTCTTCCATATCTTTGGAAAGTGATAATGGTGGATGCCTGTCTTTCAGGCTGAGGTGGAGTGATCCAGTTCCTCAGAGTTCAAATAACATGGTCATTGGCAGAAGCCAACTCGCATCTTGGAGCTCAATGCCATAAGGATGGCTCTGCAACACTGGACCCCTTTCTGCAAGGATACCAAATCAAGTTGCAGTCAGACCAGCTGTGGCCTACATCAGCCACCAAGGGGGCACCTGAATCCATACAGCCTTGAAGGAAGTAAGCCAGGTCCAGTTATCTGCTGTCCCCATTCCAGGAGTGGTCAATTGGAAGGCAGATTACCTCTGCCGTCACCATCTGGACGAAAGCGAAGGAGGTCTTCAACCTTCAACATCTATGGGATGGTGGGGTGGCAGATGTGATGTAAGTATCTGTGACTTCCTGAAACACTAGTGGTTGGTTCACATGATAATTTTATCTTCTATAATTTTGGTATTTGGCTACCTTTTATATGCCAGCAGGTGTCTTGTGTGAGGAATTTTAACTTGTACCGTTGACTTTTAGATGTTTGTGGAAATAAATGTGTAATTTTTGTATGTGAGTGTATTATTTTTTTTTTTTTTTTATTTTGTGTCCGTGTCTCCATGCCACCTTAATAAGATTAATAGTTTAGTGTGTAGGACCTTGAGACAACCTTTGATGTTTAATCCCCCCCAAAGAATGCTAAACCTTAACTTGCATCCAGTAGGGAGTAGATTGTCTTGGTTTCTAAAAGATTTGGAAGATTACTATAAATCCAAGGATACTCCATGTCATCAAGACTGGTTAGAGTCTGGAATTTGATGACCAACATCCAGTTTTCAAAGTAACTTCAAGAAAGTTTTCTCACCCCCTATACACTGCCATGGAGGAGGCAGTGAAATTCACTATCCTCCAAGGAGTTCTCATGCCAGTTCCTCTCAAAGCAACACAATTTTTTTTTTTTTTTTGCAACAAATCTTTGAGCCCCAATCCAAATGAGACTTTAAGCACCATTATCAGCCCTAAAACTTCTAAATCAATTCTCGAATACAAGAAGCTCAACAAGGAAATGGTAAATTCAGCAATCAATCTGCTTCAGAAAGGATTCTGCATGGCAACCCTGGATCTAAAAGATGCCTATTACTGTGTATCTGATAAATCCTGCTTCCCAGAAATATCACAGAATAGAGCCATGTATCTGGGGAAAGAACTGGTATATCTTCAGTTTCAGGCCTTCTTTTGGGGTTTCGCAAGCCCCTGGACTTTCACAAATTGAATGACAGAACTGGCAGCACATGTAAGGACAAAAGGAATCCTTATTCCATAACTTCAATCTATTCCTGTCAGTCACATCTGAAGAATGCCTGCATAACCAGGTCGCCCATGTGTGTAACCACACAGTTGGATTACTAATTTGAAAAAGTTTAATCTATTACATCATCCTCCATATTTTTTATATGTATTCTTTTGAATACAGGGCTGGAAATGCCCTTCTTACCTCAAAATAAGTACAGCCCTCACTCCTGTAATTAAGGTGTTTAGGTAGAAATAGCATGCTTCATTCAAGGAAGACTGTCTTCCTGGCTTTAAGTCAGCCTGTATTGTGGGAGTACCCTGGGTGCAAGCACACAGGAGACTTCTACAGAGTCAGTTTTTCAGCCTGCTTTATTTCTCCCCATGTTCAGGAATCCTTTGTCTCTTGGGTGTCTTGAACAAACGTGGAAAGATTTCATTGGAGGTAAAGCAACTTGATGCAAGTCTGATAGGATTGGGGAACCATGCTGGAGCAGCAGGTATTGCAGGCAACTCGGTCCTGGGAACTAGCATCTAGTTCCCCCAATTTCAGAAAATTGAAAGTGATATTGTCTCTCAAAGGCACTTTAAGATCTTTTTAGATCAATACCACAGTTATAGATTTTGTGAACACACAGGTGCAAGGAGCCACTTGTGGGAGTTTTTTTTTTTTCTGGGCAGAGATGCATGAAGGGCCATACATCTGCTGAGGAAGCCAGCATTTTCTTTTCCTCCTAGAAGGGACTTGGATCAGGTAGGCATGGTGTCTAAACTGCAAGGTGCTGCAACAAATTATAGATCACTTGTGGATGCCCCAGATCAATCTTTTTTTAGGAAATGCCCTTCTTCCAAGGTCTTTTTTTTATTTATTTAAACAAGAGGGACCTCCCAGAAGGATTGAATGCCAGAGGTGGAATTTCTCTGGATATTCTCCATGGGTCTTAAAGAAAATTTGGTAGAAGCAGGCAGAAGTCATCTTCATAGCTCTTTGGTGGCTCTGTTATCAGTGGCAGAACTGATTCCTCTACCAGGCAGAAATTACCTTTCTGCATCCAACAGTAGAGAAGCTCAGCTTGACTGGCTTGCATTTGAGCGGACCATCTTCAAAAAATAAAAAGGTCTCTTCTAGAGCGAAATCACTCTTTAACCACTTCCAGACCGGACACTTTTACCCCCTTCCTGACCAGGGCAATTTTCAGCTTTCAGCGCTACATGCTTTGAATGACAATTGCACGGTCATGCCACACTGTACCTAAATGAATTTTTTACCATTTTTTTGAGACAGATAATGCTTTATTTTGGTGGTATTTATTCACTGCTGGGATTTTTATTTTTTTTTTGCTATGTAAATGATAAAGTCCAAAAATTTTGAAAAAAAGTGTTTTTTTTTTTTTTAAATTTTTGCAAATAAATAATATTTCATCATAAATCTTGGCCAAAATGTATTCCGTTATCTTTTTAGTAAAAAAAAAAATCCAAATTAGTTTATAACCAAAAATTATAACTTTTAAATAATTTTTTTTACATTTATTTTATTTTTTTATTTTTTATTTTTATTTTTTTTTCTACATACTGTCACCCTAGCAGTACAGTGTCACCATGGTGACACTGTACTACTTGTGGGGGGTGATGAAGATTTTTTTTTTTACACTGATTGCTTTTACACCCATATAGGATGTAAAAGCAATCATTTCTCTTTCTCTCTGTCTGCATTCTTGCAGTCATTGAGAAATACAGAGTGAGCTGTGATTGGTCACAGCTTGTCACATGGTACAAGGCTGTTGTGAATAGCCTTGTACCATGTGACCTCACATTCGTCACATGGTACAAGGCTGTTGTGAATAGCCTTGTACCATGTGAATTCACACGTAGTAAGCAATGATGTCACAAGTGACATCTTGCTTGCTACT